AAGAATTCTAATCACAAGAGGTTATAGGAAAAAATATTAGGAAATGTAATGTATGAGCCAAGTAAGTTAATTCCATTTGTTATAAAGAGTGATAGGTTAGCAAATTTGGTGAGTTTGTTTATAGTCATAGTTCTCAGGCCTACATGGAAATTGTTCAATAACCACATTTCATCCCAGAATCATTATATCAAAATTCTGAGAAAAGAAACAAACAGAAGATTAAAACTACTAACTTATCAAGTAATCTAACAAATAAAATTGTCTACAAGTATTCTTTACTAGCAGTGATTAGATTGTCTTTACTTTTAAGTGCAGCAGATAATGTTAATGTATTAATTGTCCAATGATCACACTTCATCCCAGAGAAGTTGTACAAAAATTCTGAGAAAAGAAACAAGCAAATGTTTAAAACTACTCTCATGAACCAATCTAACAAATGAAATTATCTACAAGTATTCTTTGCTAACACTGATTAGCACATCTTTTTTATTTTTAATGTTAATGTGCTAAACTTCAAACATAATTAGTAACCCCTTGTTTTTGTAATGTCATTTCAGAATTTTCGTTAATCTATTATAATTTTTGTGTTCTTGTTCTCCTCACATTGCAGGCAGAGTGAATTCCTATGTATTCATTTGGAATATGCTTTCAAAGTGATAAGTCTAAATCTTTATTCTTCAAAAACACACAGACTAACAAGTATTGAGAGTGAGACACAAATCAGACAGTAAGTATGATATAAACATCATTTCTTGAATTTACTAAGTGCATTTTATATCATTTAAAATGACTTAGATATCTATATTACATAACACAATGAAAATTTAATAATTATTCTCATTATGAATACAAAATTTTGTATAGATTCTAAAAATAAATTCTTTGTTTCTATATATGAAGTTGAATTAATTTTATGCAAGCTGAACTATTATCAAATATTTTGATACTTATAAATTATACAATTTTTAAAATTTAAAAAGACTTCAAGAGACCATCATGATATACTTTCTTGCATTATATTTAATTCTATACAAGTTAATGTGACACTAGAAATGTTTAATCATGTATAACTTTGAACAAGCTTTTATTTTTTTAATAAAGAAATGGGGTAATACAGTGCTAACTCATGGTTTTGTGAGGGAGAAGTGAGAGAATCCAATAAAGTTTTTGGCTCAGTGCTTGTCACATAATAATTGCTAAAAGTTGGGCACTATTATAACTATTTCTAACTGTTTAGAAATTAAAATTTCAGTTTTTATTTAACTATTATAAGTAACAGAATTATCACATCTTTGTTCAAATGGTTTCTTTTTCTTGTTGTGTCAATCCTTCCAAGAGAAAAAAAGCGTTACTAGGTCAAAAGGTGTAATCCTCCTTTTGTTTTTGTGCCCTGTTGTCACATCACCCTTTAGCAATTGAACAGGCTGCTGCCCGCTGTTTTGGAGATGCCCAAACTCCTGGACCCTAAGGTTGCCCTGAGGCCTCTCTAGGTGACTGGAGATGAGCAGAGCAGGGGACAGCCAGGTGGGGCCTGGTGGTGGCCAGCCTGGGCCTTTCCAAAACAGGACTTTATTAAAGTCACCTCCTCCAGGAGGCCTTTCCTGGCCGTCATTTCTGAAGGTCCAGCCTCACCTCTGACACTGCATTTCCTCTTGGTAGTCTCTTTTCATCTTCTCCTCAGGCCTGATCTAACAAGGTGGATTTGTCTTGCATATTGTCTGTGGTCTCCACAATATGATAAACACTCAAAGACAAAGATTTTATCCAGCACTGAATAGTGCCTGTCACACACTAGCACTCACTGAGCACATTTTCTAGCTGTTGAATAAATGAAAGTGTTATAAACATTATAAATGAGGTCAAAGTCTTAAAAGCATCCACCAGCTATGATCTCTGAGTGATTCACTCTTTTCTGGACAGCCGGGACCTGCCGCAATGTAGCCCTTGTTTCTATGAGGCCCTTTCCATTGCTAGGGACAAAACACTCCTAACTAAGTGCCATAAACCATTCACTTTATCACATTCAGAAATTGTGCAGTCAAGTTTAGATTAGGACATGGTAAGGGGCTTGTGAAGATTGAAGGCTGGGGTGACTCAAATGGCTGGTGACGAGAAGCATGCAGAAGCTTTTATCCAACCTCCTCCCCCAGTACCACCCTTCATACTGAGCTACATCCCTATTTTTTTTTAATTCTCAGACAGCATGTTACTAAGTTATGCAGGCTAGGCTTGAACTTAAAATTCTCCTGCCAGAGCCTCCCAGAATGCTGATGTTTCAGGCATGCACTGACATGCTCAGCTTGTATTTTTATTATTATCTGTGTCTTGGCTATTTTATTCTTCTAGGAATAAATGCTATAAAATGTGATACTGGTCATGTCTTCCCTATTTCACATTTGGTCATCTCACATTGGTAGTTTAGAAAGACCATGACAAGAGGTTCTGTGATTGTGTCTTTGTAGTGCTAGAGATGGAGCCCAGAGGCTCACATATGAGGCAAGTGCTGTACTGCTGAGCTACACTCCCAAGCCTGGTAGAAGTTTTATATCCTAGAAATGAAATGCCACATATCAGGGCCTGACTTGCAGTTTCACTGACTGACTGCAGTCTTAAGAAAATGAGGAAGATTAATGTTAAAAATGTGCTTAATTTAAAAGTGTGTCATGTCTGCACCTGTCATGTCAGCTGCACACAAAATGAAAATGTCTTCTCCTACCCCCAAACCATCATTATTCCATTCAGCAAAAAAGTCACTCATATCATTGAGGAACAAGTAACATACAGACATAAGTCCAGATATTTGAACTTTTCTCTTACTACTTAATCTAGAGAAAAGTATCATCCAGCACTTGTGTTGGAACTATAGGAGTTTGTCAGGTGGGGGCATAGGTCAATTATGGATTCAAAAATATAAAAAGCATCCTGTGAATTGATTGGAAAGAGCACTATGTTTTTATACTTTATAAGTTGTGTTACATGCCTTTTACAACAGCACAATTTGTAATACACATATGTGTACATGTAATACATATATATACATAAACAAATATGTTGGTTATTAAACATTTACTAACACACTGTTGTTAAAATCTCACACTCCATGGGCCTTGTGCTTTCAACTCAGATGTGTCGTTAACATTCAAGCTCATAGTCTCGCTGCCCTTGTGTAACCTTTCGGAGCGATTCACCACTGCTCCACACAGAATGACTCCATGTTGGGAGGTGCTATTCCTCCTGCATGGTGTACTCATTTTGGGAGAGTGAAGGGCTGCTCTGTGTCTGTTCTCCCCCATCAGTGCAGTTGTACTGAGTGAATAAGCTCTCTAAAAAGCAAAAACAATACATCCTGAATGGCTATAGCTTTCTCACATCTAAAAAATGCAGACTATCCACTTGGGGCAGATAGTACATGGTCTGATTGGGGTAGGACAGGAAGTGATTCCAAGCGGCCAAAAGGAAATGCTCTGTGTACATGCTCGTTATCACCCCTTGTGTGATTACAAAACTGTCTGCCATGTCATCACCATTTGCTATCCTGCCCCACTTTTATGATTTCCAGAAAATAAAAACAAATCAGAAAGTAACTGACCGCCTCAACAAACTGTCCTTGTTTACATGTCATTACAGAGTAGCTATGGAGCAAGAAACTACCAAGGTATAATCTTCTGCAAGATCCTGGTCATCACCATGCTTATGATGAGCTGGGGTGATCCTAGTTAGGTCATTCTAGTTCTATATTATTTTGGGGGAAATATAATATATGATAATACTGAATACTACACTTTGTATTAAATTCATTAGCTAAAATTCAACAATTCATCACACGTGTGTTCCTTAAAACTAGAACCTATGGAGCCACTATCATCACACCCAGATGTTATACACTGAAACAAATATTTTTATCTCTAAAGGAAAATTAATGTGGAATTTTATAGAAAGACTCAGTACTACCTAATGAAATAGAAATGATGATATAAAAGAAAAACATCCTAAAATTTCATAGCTCTCTAGGTTCAAATCCCCAGTACTTGGTTTCAGAAAAAAAGGCCTTTTTTACATGGAAAAGACCTCCCAACACTGTGAAAGCTATCAGTGTACACACATTGCTTTAAAAGTGAAGATGTCACCAATGATTGAGAGTGCCAGGAGTTTGCCCAGATTTGATATATATATAGCATGCTGAATGAGACAGATGGTGTTTGACTATAATCCCAGCACTCTGGGCATCTGAGTTAAGGAGATCACAAGATAGACCAATTTTGTGACTTAGGAAGACTCTTAGTGTGTATCTAAAAAGAATATCTGAGGATATATCTGTAGTTCACTGTGCAGATGCAAAGTAAAAATAAGAAAATGCAAATGTAAAAAACTAATAGATGATAAATCGATTCACAGATACTTAGATAAAATAATAAAATAACCAGCCACTGATTTACTTAGCATGATGAAAAAGTTGAGCCATAGGCTTTCTTATCAGTTATTGGACCTCAAGTTATTGGACATAACTTCCTGGCAACATGACCAAGCAGAACTTGGAACCCTTGTAGAAGACATCACAATCCAGTACCGCCCACCTCCCCAGCTCATTTGCCTGGAGACACTCAGTGGAGAGGATGCTGAGTTGTTTCTCCACATCCAGAAGCCACAGCCCCAGGACCCCAGGCAGACAAAGTCTATGTCAAAAATTGAGAAAACGCCTCACACCATCCAGATGCCGCAGGCCAAAGTTCGAAAGGCACGCAACTTTCACAGACAGCCCAGAGACGGTCTCCCCAAGACCAACCGACTGTGTACAGCCACCATCAAGGTACCCACCCCAAAAGTCTGTTGACTCAGGTACAAATGACACTAAAACCCCAAAGTTTCATGGGCAGGTTTCAACAGGCCCCGGGACACTCAGCAGCTCTGGACAGGTCTCAGCAGAGCTGGCAGCAGTAAAGTCAGACAGACCCAGGTGTGAAAGGCACCCAACTTTCACAGTCAGCCCAGAGACGGTCTCCCCAAGACCAACCGACTGTGTACAGCCACCATCAAGGTACCCACACCAAAAGTCTGTTGACTCAGGTACAAATGACACTGAAACCAAAAGGATTCATGGGCAAGTTTCAACAGGCCCCGGGACACTCAGCAGCTCTGGACAGGTCTCAGCAGAGCTGGCAGCAGTAAAGTCAGACAGACCCAGGTGTGAAAGGCACCCAACTTTCACAGTCAGCCCAAAGACGGTCTCCCCAAGACCAACCGACTGTGTACAGCCACCATCAAGGTACCCACACCAAAAGTCTGTTGACTCAGGTAAAAATGACACTGAAACCAAAAGGATTCATGGGCAAGTTTCAACAGGCCCCAGGACACTCAGCAGCTCTGGGCAGCTCTCAGCAGAGCTGGCAGCAGTAAAGACAGACAGACCAAGGTGTCCAGAAGCAGAGACTAATGTCACAGTGTCCAGCAACCACCAAACACTAAGAAACCCACAATACGACCAGCTGGGCCGAGCCATTATGGAGAATTACTTGGCAGGGAGAGATGCCCAACCCCACACTGAACAGACAATAAAGGCAGTAAGGCCTCCCTCACCCATTAAGCCCTGTATGCCAGTTTTCCTGCATGACCAACCCTTCTCTGACCCATTCTTCCCAAGTACCTCCATGGCCTACACCACCTCCCAACAGGCCCAAGTTGTAGGTGGGGATAAGAAGACGACAAGCCTTGAGATTTTGTTTTCTTCTGAGGGCAATGAACTTCTAGACACCTGCTCATTTGGTAATAAACACCTCACAATTCATACATCATCTCCTGCACCAAAGTATACTGAGGTGTCTTGTGTATCTGAATGTACTGAAGTGCCTTGCTTACCACAAGATGGAAAGGTGATTTGCATACCAGAAGATCCTCAAGTGCCTTGGGTGCCAAAAACAACTCTGCCTCGTATGTGTTTAGATCAGAGTTCTTGGGACTGTCTGCAAAAGGATACGGAGGCTCTCCCACCATCATTTCCAGAGGCTCCTCAGGTGTTTGGGGTACAAGAACAGCCTAAGACACCTTCTCCAGAAGATAAATCCATCTGCTGTAGAGCTTCAGGACACTTGAGAAAGGTTCACTGCGCTAACGGCCACACATTTCGATCTAAAAGGTTCAGTAAGCGTGCTAATTGTGCTGTCTGCTCAGACCCCACGGGAGGATTTGGACGCAAGGCATACAAATGTATGCACTGTAAAATTTTAGTTCATAAGAAGTGCCATACACTCGTCAGAGTTCCATGCAAGCACCATACTGGTGAGGAGAATGGCAGGCCTTTGTGCTCTTCTGCTCTTAAAGACTTTGACTTTCTCCGTGTCCTCGGGAGAGGAAGCTACGGTAAAGTTTTACTAGCTCAGCATAAAACAACAGATCACCTCTATGCCATGAAAGTGGTGAGAAAGGATGATGAAAACCTTAGTCGTCTCCAGGTAGAGAAGCAAATATTGGAGAAGAGCTTGAACCACCCTTACCTGGTTGGCCTGCATTCCTGCATCGAGACACCAACCAAATTTTTCTTTATCCTGGATTACATCAGTGGAGGAGACCTAACATACCATCTGCAAAAGTTCGGAATCTTTCCCGAAGCACATGTGAGATTCTACTCCGGGGAGATCTCCTTAGCTATCAAGTTTCTTCATGAACATGAGATATTACACAGGGATCTGAAGTTGGAGAACTTGTTACTAGATGCGGACGGACACATTAAAGTTACCGATTTCAACCTATGTAAGGCAGGACTGAAGGCAGGCGAGAAGACCAACAGTTTCTGTGGCACACTCAGTTATCTGGCTCCAGAAATCATCAGAGGCGAAAGCTACGGTTTCAGTGTGGACTGGTGGAATCTTGGAACAGTCATGTTCGAAATGATGGTGGGAGAGCCTCCGTATCCTTTTGCAGACAGTCCCAAGAACTCTGATCTAAACACATACAAGGTCTTGCAATCTATGTTAGAAAGAGAAGTCCACATTCCACATCACCTGTCTGTTGAAGCCAGAAGCATCCTCAAGGGTCTTCTGAAGAAGGAGCCAGAGGTAAGATTGGGCTGTCATCCTCAGAGAGGATTCATCGATATTAAAGAGCATCCATTCTTTAACAATCTGGACTGGAACATGATGGAAAAAAAGCAAGTGCCTCCTCCCTTTAAGCCAAGTATTGGTACAGAATTCGGGATAGAAAACTTTGACCCTGAATTTACCAACAAACCTGTCCAGCTCACACCTGATGACAGTTACTTTGTGAACAGCATAGATGAATTTGGGCTTTGAGTACATCAATCCCCTTTTCACATAAGAAGAATGAGTCTGATTGTCACCTTCCAGTTAAGCATCTGTTTGTATATCTAATGCATAACAAAACTTGTTACCAGCTTGCATTCAACTGACACTTTTATAATTGCCTGGAAGATCATTTTAATTTCCTTTTTCTATATGAAGATGCCCTGCTTGATTTTGGTTTTTGGTTGACAGAGTTACTTTTTATGATAAGACTTAACGATGAGGCAATTTCTTTTTACCAAATTTGTAAACACATTCCGTTTGTTACTTGGAGACATATTCCTGATTTTTTTATTTACTACACTGGAAAATAATATCTCATTATGCTTGGTTCGCTCCCAAACTATATGACCTATATATTTAGGCCCCTGATTTTGTAATATTCAGGGAAATCCAAAAACAATAGTAACAACTTTGAACAACTCTGCAGAAACCACATACATTGTAGCTCTGTCTCCTAGGTCAAACTTTAACCATCTTAAAGTATTACACCATAGATATACTTTCTAATATTACTGGACATCAAAACAATAATGCAAAGAAAGTATTTCTCCAAATAAGGCTAAAATCCCAAAGGAGTTCTAATGTGGACTCAGTAGGAAACATTTTAAACAAATGCCCTGTGTGAGTATTTTACATTCTGAATGCCCAGTGGCAAAGAGCAGCTCTTAAAAGCAGGATCAGAAACATATTTCTGACATGTCAGAGTTCTCTGCAAGTTCATGTTGTGTACACTGATTTTTGTTTTTAAGCAAGATCTGAGTACTACCAGAAACACAGATTCCTTGCAAAGGAACATGTCAATCCTTAGAAACATTTTCTTTTGATGTTTTCCTTACTTTCAAATTTAGCTATTTGATGGAATGATAAAATATGACTCCAAGCTTGGGAAATGTTATATTTCTAATGAAATGGGGCATCCAAATAAAGAGAGAAAGATAACTTAGTAAATGCCTACACATTTTAAGTCATCCTAAATTTAAAACTGGATAGCTTGCCTAGAATTAAACATTATTAAGCTTGTGCCATTGTAACTTATTTAGTCTATGATGGTTACTTTTCAAGTCCTTTGCACAGAGATGGCACTGAAACAGAGCAATGCTGTATCTGGCAACTCTTGAAATGACAAATTGCTAACTACAAATTGTAGTAAAAATAATTTGAAGAACTCTGCCCCTGAAATGGACTGTACTACTTCAAACTATTTTTTTAAAATTCGTAATTAGCAATTCGTTATTTACACAGCTGCCAGATACAGCACTGATCTGTTTCAGTGCCATTTCTGTGCAAAGGACTTGAAAAGTAACCACCATTGTCTAAATAAGTTACAATGGCACAATCTTACTGAAGTTTAATTCTAGCTAAGTATCTAGTTCTAAATTTAGGATCACAACATGTGTAGGCATTTACTAACATATCTTTCTATCTTCATTTGGATGCCCCGTTTCATTAGAAATATAACTTTTCCCGAGCTTGGAGTCATATTTTATCTTTCCATCAAATAGCTAAATTTGAAAAGTAAGGAAAACATCAAAAGAAAGTGTTTCTAAGGATTGACATGTTCATTTGCAAGGAATCTGAGTTTCTGGTAATACTCAGATCTTGCTTAAAAACAAAAATCAGTGTACACAACATGAACTTGCAGAGAACTCTGACATGTCAGAAATGTGTTTCTGGTCCTGCTTTTAAGAGCTGCTCTTTGCCACTGGGCATTCAGAATGTAAAATACTCACACAGGGCATTTGTTTAAAATGTTTCCTACTGAGTCCACATTAGAATTGCTTTGGGCCTTTGGCCTTATTTTGAGAAACATTTTCTTCCCATTATTCTTTGGTCCTCCACTTAAATAATAGAAATGTTATTAATGCTATAAGCAGCAATTTACAACCTTATGAATGCTTCTGAACAAATTTTAAACAGATGACTCTTATAGATCATCTTCTCTGTTGCCCCAGTAAAGCCTTATCATTTTTACCAATGATTTATGCACAAAACCAGAATTTTTCTTCAATGAAGTCAATCTTTATTCAGGGTGTTATGTGGTTTTTAAAATTTTTACGTAGTAAGATTTATTCTGTGTATTTTATGGGGAATTTCATTTCAAAAATTTTAACTATTCTATTTTTTTGCAATCTTTTAGTGTAATGGCATTTATTATAAAAAGTCTTCTCAAAATATTTACCAGGAAAATAAGGCAGTTTACAATCAGAATAGTTGACCTTTTGATATTCTAAGACATAATTTACTTTGCATAAGCCTGCCATCAGTTCTCTTTATTCATATTCAGCCTGAATTCAATTTCAAGTACCTGGTTCAGTAATGCTACAGTTACTTTATACATTTGTTTTGTCATGCAGCATGCAGCCTTGTTGGTCATGATATAACCTGCATTTGTGTACCACTTTTTTTCTCATGTTAAAAACCTTTAGTTACAACATGTAATTCAAATCACAGCCATGAAAATATTTTGCAGCCATATTGTAAAACCTCCATGGTGATCATACTGCATTTTCACTAGTTGCAATCTGGAGTAAACCTAAAGTGAAATCTGCCAGCTCCAAACCAAGACTCATGGTGACTTTCAATTGCTTTCTGCTTCACTCCTCACTCACTGAAGATCTGCTGTATTGGACTGCTTTAAGTAATGAACAACGTGTGGATGCAATAACAACTGGACATGGTTGTATATAATATGAATCTTAAAAATTCAATACATCGTGTGTTGTAATAGACATACTTAATTCACTCATGTGAAGTAAACATTCTCTGAATTTTGGGGCCTGCAATCTTTTGTTGCTTCTGTGTGAACCATCATGGTTCCTAACTGCCATCATGTTTTGGCCACAACTGTCTCCTAAGTCTTCAATTAATACTTGATTTAATGGAAACTCTGTGAAGCCCAGCCTCCAAGGGATTGTAACTTGGGTGAAAAATTCATGGGATAAAGTCTCTGACAGCTGTGTTTCCTATGCCCTGTGAGCAGGCTACGTGGATGAGATGTGCACATTTTAACAGAGCTCTACTGCTGGACCTGAGAGGCTGGGGCCAATATTTCCATAGAAATGGAATTTCAAGACATTCAGTCCATAATGTGGGTTTTGGAGAACTATAATAGTGTTCTAGAAAAAGGTGACAAGACTGTATTTGAACAAATATGGATTTTTGTATATGAAAAAAATAAGATTACCCTGAAAAATAAGTCCTGGTGCATCTTTTGGAGCAAAATTTAAGGTAAGAGCTGGTCTTAGTTTCAGGGAATAATATTTTTGAACTCTAGTTCACCCAACAGGGTCATCATGGGCAGCTGAGTTACTGCACCTGAATGAATAATATTTTCATGGTATGAGATGACCCAAGATAGCTTGGGCAGGGCATATGAATGAGTACCCTCTACAGTGGTCAAGCAAATGGCAGACGTGCAGGCCCTTTAGCATCTGCTTTCTGCCACCTTCTCTCTTCCAATAGTCATGACTGATGTCTGAGTGTTCACTGTGGGAGCAGCACTTTGGGTGCAGTAACTCAGCTGTCTATGGTGACCCTATTGGTGAGCTAGAGTGCGATTCTTTTGTCCCTCAAAGGCCACCAGCTTGGTGCTACTAGGAGGTGGTGGAGCCCTCAGGAGTTGGGATCTAGTGAAAGGTCTCCGTCACTGGGCAGAATCCCCTGAAGGGGACAGCAGGATCTCACGCCCTTCTTCTTCTCTTCCCAGCCATGTGGTGAGCAGCTTTGTTCTGCTATATGTCACCCCACACCCTGGCCCATGATATGCTGCCAGCAGCCTATGCCAGTGGGACAACAGGTCACAGAGTAGAACTTCCAGAATTGAACCACAATAAACCTTTTGTCTTTATAAGTTGATTACTTCAAGTATTTGTTACAGTAGTAGAAAGCTGAATACCAGAGTGGAGCTGTGCTATACACTATATTTCAGAGGGGAATTAACTAGAGGAACAGAGATACCAGGAGACTGACATAAATCAAATGCCTTCACGTAGAAACACAACAGGTGCTCAATGCTGAGGCTCTACCGTGACTTCCGACTTCAGTGTTCCTTTGCCCAGCCCTGGGTGTTTTATGTTTTGCTTATTATATGAAGGATTTTTAAATGAGTTTCATGTATAAGTGGTCCATATTTATTGTGTTATATATTTCTCAGATTACTTCTATGAAGCACAGGCTCCCCAGCTTCCAAGCCTGCGAGTCACACCAACAGCACTCCTGAGTCTCCACAGCAGATAGGAACTCTCAGTTGCCATAATTACATGATTCAATGTCTAATGATAAGTTTCTTCCTATATGCCAACAGGAAATATATATACACATACATGTATATAATCTATACACATTCACAGAGGCATTCATAGAAACCTGTTCACACAGAGACAAAGCAGATATATATCTACTATACAGAAATTTATTAGAGAAATCCCTGATTAACATGGCTAGGATAGAGAACAGGGCACCCTCATTAGAAAAAAAAGAGAACTGACCATGAGTGCATGGTGATACCAAAGAAAAAAAGCTTCCCTGTGGTAAGCTCCTAGAATTTTGAAGTTATTACAGGAGTTAATGCATTCTGATCAAACTGTCAAAGCAACTACAGAAATATACCTGACTGGAAATACCACTCAGGAAAAATGCATATAAATTTTAATAATATAAATTTATAATTATAAGATTTAATAATAATTACTTGATTCATAGTAAATGAAAGAAATATGTTTCTCTTATTCTTAAAATTTCATGTGTTCATTGTAAAATTCAAGTGTGAGTTATTTGATAATGTGAATTTAAAGAAAGTTGAATATCCAAAATAAAAAGAGAAGTAATTTTGTTGTTAAATAAAAATGAACTACAGTTGATATGAGATTATTTTATGTTAAAAGGGCTTGTCTAGTTTACATGTGTTTCATGGAAGATCTTTTAAACTTTATAAAAACTTTGTTCAGGATTCGTATAAAGCAAATGCTATTATAAAATTGTTTTAACTTGGGGAAGTGTGGGGAGGGGAAGATAAATGCCTGTGTGGAGCTGCAGTAGAAAATGTGACCGCCACCACCCCCAAGCCAGTAATTTCAGTCTCTTAGTCACCCTGGTAATAGTTCCTGTTGCAGTTCTGATTGCTTCTATCCACTAGAAACAGCTGGCCACTGTAATGCACAGCTGGCCACTGTGGGGCATACTGTAAGAACCAAAGACAGCCAAGTACTCTGTGTTTGGACTTCCCCTTTGGAATCCCATAAAAATCCTCTCTCCTTGAGCCTTCAGGGCCTGATACTCTTGAAATGATCCTGATCAGTGCTCAGCCAAGTAGAATAAATCTGCCTCCAAATCCTAGGTGTCCTTTTGGTGTTTCTGCTTAATGTTGCACAACTCATCTTAGAAACAATTTGCAAATATATCTTTCAAATTATTAACATTAGGTTTTTAAATATTTTCCTGAAACATCATCTTAGATTATATAATCTAAATTAGTATTCATTTTATAAAAAGAAAGTAAAAATATGTTCAAATTCATATTGGCAGAGATTTAAGTTTTCTTTACAAGAAATTATTTTTTCTAAATTTCTAATGTTTAGCAAATTAATGTTAATTTTAGATATTATACTGAATATTATACATGATATAAGAAATATATAGATTATTATATATAGTGGATTATTATGCAATCATCATAATATATAAATGTAGATTATTATATATAATCATAAACTGAAAAATTGATTTTGCTAATCTGAGAACTTTACAGATAAATATTCCTGGAAATTTCTCTCATTTAAAGGGATTATTTTGAAATTTGATATATTTATATGAGCAATAGAACTGCACTAAAAACTTTGATGCACTAATTTTATCATATTATTGTCTGACCATACTCATATCAAATAATTATTATGGTGCAATAAAAAGTCATTAATCAGTAATATTACAACATTCCCTTATGAATATATTTTATGTATATTTGTGCTACATAAAATCATATAAATTTATTTTCCAGATCTATGTCATCCATCTCTTATCATTTTAAGAAGTTCAGATCTATGCTGTCTCCATTCAACTTCTTTATACAACCTCAGAAGTTAGCCTACCTTCACCAAAAAAGTGAAAGGAAATTGAATAAACATTACTCTACGTCATATTATCAGAGGTGTAGACATATAATTAAAGTATTGGAAATTACCTTGTAAAATAGTTCTAGCATTTTTTAAGTTTAGAATCTTTAAAATTGTGTTTTGGAAATATTACTTCACTTTTTTCTGTGTTCGACAAATATATATCATAAGATAGGCCCAATGTTTCCCATATTTATCTCAGGTGCTTTCATTTTTATTTCCATTGAACTGGAATAATTGTTTTAAAACACTACATTTCTTTTAGCTGCATTGTACACCCACTAAATAAGTGCATGTGATAGGACAGTGGTAAACACCAGGGTTTGGACTTCTATGCATTTCTCCAGGATGATATTCAATACATTCCAGTTGAAGGGAAAACTTCTGGAAAGTTCAGACCTACATGCCAGAAAGTAATAGTGTAAGAATTCTCACCAGTGAATCTTTGGCAGATAATGCAACCCAACATAACAAGGACAGAGACCTGCTAGAAATTTATGCCTTAAAAGAGCTCCAAAGTCAGTGAAGAAAAACATTTGTTTGCTTTTTACTTCACTGATACATGTTTCAAATTTGTATCCATATATGATGTATTTTAATTCTTCTTTACCCAATCCTCTGTTCTCACTTCAAGAGAGAACAGGCCCAGCTGTAGGCGTGCATGCCAGTGCAGGCAGCACCAGCAAGAACAGACTGGGAAACCGGTGCGCACTCCTGCAGGCAGGACCTGTGGCGGGAGCAGTCTGAAGCAAGAGGGAGAATATGAAGCAGCCGCTGGTCATCAGGTGAGCATTATGTCCTACCACACAGACAGGAAGAACAGAAGTGGGTGGGAGCATTTTATATCAAAGAGCTCTAGGAGAAAGCAGGAAACAAAAGATCTGCCCCAGCTCCTAAACCCAGAAGCCAAGGTCATGCTCACAGGCTGCCGCACAAGCCCCACTTGACTGGAGTGCGCATTGCTGGATTCTGACTTGGAAACTGCCAGAGAACTATGGACACCAGAGGAATTTTCCTACTTTTATTTTTCTGTCTGGCTGTTTGTTGTCTGGTTGGTTTTGCCTGTTTTGTTTGTGGCTGTGTTACTTTGCTTTTATTTTGTCTTTTTCTTTTCTTTCAGCTTTCTTTTTTTTTTCACCATGTTTTCTTTCTTTTTTTTTTTTTTTTCTATTTATCTTATTTCTCTTTTCCTCAACTATCTCCTGATTTGGTAGCTTCACACGAATGAATATTGTTTCTTGTCTTTCTGGTTTACTTCAACACCCCTTCACTTGCAGTTTCATTTTCTTGTCTCGTGTCCTCCAGTTTCCCAAAATTTCAATTAATATCCTTAAACCCCAGCCTTGCTTCTACTATATTTGAACTTTTTCATCTCTCTGTCTTGTCCTTTATCTCTGTAAATTCTTCTCTCTTCCCACACAAAGTAAAATCACTCCATTCAGGGGGAAATCATTGCATACAAGTTCCTGATATATATTGCATTTTGTTATATAACTGTAAAATTTGCTCCTTGTTAAAGGTATCAGGTTGACAGTTACAGTTTGTCAGTAGATAGCCTGTACTTGATGCTACTATTATTGACAACTGTACTACGTTAGGCAGGATTTCATATATGTTATGTTTTTGTCCCTTGTATGATATTGAGGTGATTGTATGAGATCACAGTCACATTCATTGTTCAGGACCAAAGGATTGGGTGCCAAGCCAAATAGATAACAACTTTTCATCCTTAATCAATTGGGAAAATAGGTTTTTGGGATAGATAAAAGACATTTCCTAGGGAGTCCTAAATATTACTGATAAAGATGCCTACCATAAAAAATCAGCAAGCAAAACACAGAAAACAAAATAAAGTAAAAGGAGAAGATGAAAATATGCAGAAGCAAAATGCAACCCCAGACCCCCCATCCCACCCATGACAAGCCCAGAGCACAGTGAGATAAAGGAAATCAAAAGCGAAGCATTGAAATTTTCCGAAATGATAGCAAAAGAGTGAAAAAACAAATGGAAGAGATCATAGAAAAAATCTCTCAAGTACACAGAAAAATGGTGATCAAAATGAAAGACATTAAAGCAGACACAGATTTTAAAAAAGGACAGGACTTTGGAAACTGTGAATGCCCAATGTAGGAAAGAAAAGGAATCCTTGAAACATAATCAAATAGCAATTCAGATCAAAATCACCGCTGAAAGTATACACAACAGATCAAAAATCTCTAAGGATGGAATATCAGATCTAGAGTACAGGATCGGGGCTAGGGACTATAAAAAGAAAGATTCCTTAAAACTTTTTAAGAGATCATAAAAAATCCAATATTTGCTAGAGGAAGCAAAGAAGACCATCATAAGTTTGAATGGAATCAACGAAAAAGCTGGAGATGGCACAAAGGCCATAAAAGTTTTCTTCACAGAATTAATGGAAGAAAACTTCCCAAACAGGATGAAGAATTTGACATGTACATAAAATGGAGTTTATAGAACTCCACACATCCAGGACGAAAGGTATGTCTATAAACCTATCTTCCTCAGGATAGTATGTATAAGCATCCATGTGTTTTGAGTAGGTGACTACAGTGGCAAAGTAGGCATAGTAACTAGGACAAGTAAGATATTTTCACTGAAAAATCATGTCTAAATTTAGCTAATCTGGAGTTCTAATATCTTAACTCTGGACATACGTAAAAACACTAATAAGATTATCTACTGAGTTAAACGGACATATTTTCTTGTTCGCTATTAAGACTTTCAAAAAACCTGCTATATTAGAATACAATTAGGGTTCAAATTTTAACATAGAGACATATGCTTATGTTTATACATATGAATACAGAAAGATATACACATATGTGTATATACACCCATATACATGTATATATAAAACTACTCACCTAAAACAGTAATCCAAGTAAGACCTTAGTACTAGTTTTAAAAACCAAACTATTAAACACAGGAAAGAAATACAAGAGAATTATCAGTTCAGTGCCTGTACTTGTTATACTTATGAGTGTTGGGTACCTGAGAGTGAATTTATTTGCTGAAATCGTCCTTGATGCCTACACATAATGGCAGATTATCATTTTTTTCTAGGTGACATGAACAACAATCTTTACACCTCTTCTGCTCTAAACTTTCTTTAGTATAATTGTAATATGAATAACTCATATTTATGGATTGTGTTGAACAGGAAAGCTTTTAACCAGGCAATTATAAAGCTAAAAATATAAAATTTCCCTATTCATCAATATTTCTTATATAATGCAACAGAAGCAACGTCAGGACCCAGGACTCCTTGGATTAAGTCTAATGGGATAGAAACCAGCATAGTTGTCAATGTTGAGTTACATAGTTACTATATTATACATTAAAATTGATTATAAATAAAATGAATAATTGCAAAAATAGATGAGATAGTCTAACAAATGAAACATAAGACACATTGTTGGGAAAAAAAACAGATGTGCTATCAGAATGAAATGGTAATAAAAGAGAAACAGTCATCATACAATGTAAAATAGAGTATAGGAAGAAAGGCCTTAGGTTTTATGCATTTTTGGTAGGATATCCCAGTGAGAGGATACACTGGTATGTGTGTTACAAATAAAACAGAAATTTGCAAAAGTTTAATGCTGAGTTTTAAGATGAAATGATAAAGTAGGAAGAGTTATGTAGTACCTACATTTATTTTAGACACACATGTTAACTTACTGTATTTGTAAAATTCCATAAACTAATTGTACATGTGTTTAGACCCTCATATTTATACATATAGTAAAACTATAAAAATGAAACAAATAATTAGAAGTTCAAAGTTTAAGAAATGTCTCTGTCTCAGGTGGAAAGAGAATACTCTGGCAGTATTAAATATTTCTAGATTCATTTAAACATTTTGCAATGCACACATGTATTGAAACATCACAAAGCACCTCATTACAATGCACAACTTTTATTTTTTTGTTCATCAGTTAAAATTAATTTATAAATTTACACTTTTTAAATAGTCATGTAAGTTATAGCAAAGTGTTTTGCCAATTCAGTCACAGATGTAGGTACATACATTTCAGTATGGTTAGTAATTTTAGTTGCACCTATTAAATAATTCATACTTTCCAATTAAATAAAACCATTCCAAAATTTACATATTAATAAAAGTATATTGAGTAACAAAAGTACAATTTCCTGAGTCACTTAAATTTTTCTCTAGTTATCAAATAAGCTGACATGAACAATACTATGTTGTGACTTTCAAAATGACCTTCACTGATTATTTTCATATAACACAGCCAAAAGTTTATGAAAAATTTTCTCTAGGGAAGTTAACTTCTCAATTCATATTGCCAATGAATGTGCTTTGGCAGAAAATTTGCCAAAAATGACATTTACTTTTCGGGAAATTATGATATCACTTAATAGAATCTTGGAGTATATAGCACTCAGACAACTGTCAAATTGGTCCTAGGCCTTGAGGGATCTGAATGCTCATTAGCAGAAGGGTTATATATTAACTGAAACTTAGCTATTCATTTCAAGATGCTGAATTAAGTATAGAGAGAATGATGAAACATTCTTATTAAAGGTGGCACAATGTTCAACGTAATATGAATGCTACAAGCCCATAGCTACCTAAATCATTTTGCCAAATAACTGGATTTAAAAATGGTTTACAATTTTGTGAGATACCAATTTCTCTTTTGGAGTTCAGACACCTTTTCAAGAATTAGATCCCTCAATTCAAGTATATCTTAAAATTTAGGAAACTCTTAGAAAAGGAAGTTAGTTAAATTCATTCTAATATCTTTCCAAGTGAAAGGAAACAGCTAAACAGTAATTTAAAGTATGTTGCAAAATATTTCAGTATAAGAATCAGGATATTATTAATCCTACTAAATTTGAGAAATAAGGTTTTGCTTTTTATTATAATGTTAACTTTGGCAAGGTTTGGGAGGCCCAATTTTTTTGTATTCACATATATAACATACCAAATTGCTAAGCAGTCTATTTGAGATGAAAAAAAAGGTAATATTCAAAATAGCAGAGAAATTTAATTACTACATTTTTACTGTTTTCTTAAGATGTTACTTGTATTTGGAACATCATTTACCTCAATTGGCAAATACGTAATTGTTACTTTTGGTTTGTTTTTCCCTTGCTTTTAGAAAGAATATATTTTTCAAAAGTAGCCATAGTCTTTGTTTTTATAATCAATCCATATTATATCAAAAATAATACATTTCAATAAATACCGGTGGCATAAGTGATTTAATGAATGAATGAAACAAGACACAGCTAGCTCCTATAATTAATGTTATTTTGTTATACGAATATATTACAAGAAACGAGACACAATATGACAAATAGTTGAAAGGCAAAGAAAATAGACTTTAAATTCTGGGAGAGTGGGGTTATGAGTGTGAAAAATTCTTAGTAATTTCATGGCATTGGAATCCATAGAAAGCTTATGCACAGAGCTTTAAAATAAAATTTAAAAAGAACCACCAATTGATATTGGATCTTGAACTTTAAAAATAATATCAACTGTTTTGTTAGATCTAAAATTTCCCAGAAAAGTCTGATGTGTTCAAACTTTGTGTTTTGAAAGTTGCCTGTATCATCAGGGCACTACACTCATCAAGGGATTCACCAATGTGAATTTAGCAGTTGAGTGTGCTCTTTAGAGTCTGGCTAGAGGCAGGTACCTGGGCCTTGACCTGGAGGCATCTATGACTGTCTGGTCCGTATTCACTGTGTGAATTTTGACCACCATGACATGAGCTGATTTCTTCCTGTCAGGCCTTTCCATCATGCCATTTCTCTCTTGCAGACAGCAAAATATTAGCCTAAATAAACGTTTTGTCCTTAAAGTTCTGGGTATTGAATATTTTGTCCCTGCAAGAAAGAAAGTCACCGAAATAGATTTTTACACACAAAGTGGGATCATTTCTGTAAACGTATCTAACTTACTGGCTTCCAGTTGTTTGGAAGACATTCTTGGGAGTAGTTTGAAAATCTGACCAGAAAAATCTAGAATACTGTTTGCCAAGGTAGGTGGGAAATTCTGATCAGAGCTAGAAGAACAGAATACTGATAGCAATGCATACAGTAAAGCTAGTCTCCGGAAGTTCCAGTTAGGAATACGAACTCCATTGGCTGTTGGACTCCTGGTCATGGGTGTCATACTCTGGCAAAAAAATCAAATGAAATCTTTATCTAAATCATGAGACTATGCAGAAGGTTAAGATTAAGTATGATGGATTTATGTGGCTGAGGAAAGTTCAAGGCGGCCCAGTAGTTCATCTATAGTTAGGGATGCTTGCTGTTTCTAGCAAGATCTGTTATGAAAACGAGAAAAAAATGACAGTTAAGTTATTTTAAAAATTTGCAGTTTCATCAGAAATATAGCATGGGAAAGTTGGCAGAAAAAAAAGAGCACAGTTGTTTAAAAGATTAGCATGAAAAAAGAGCCAAATTCTTTGCATCAAGAAAATAGGAAAATTATCTGAGGAACATTTCATAAATTAAGAATATATTACCCATCACAAGACTAAAAGTCCAATAATGAAAGACTTTAGTTTGGAACTAGAGCCCTGGGGAGCCAAGTTCATTCAGTGCTATCCAGGAAAGCATTTCCCGTAGTTCAGGCATCAGATGTCTTTGTAACCATGATCCAGGAGAAACTGAAAACTGGCAGATCTGACCACAGCACTCCACATCTTCCACATTGTGCTGGTTTTATGGGAAAGAAGAATGTAAGAGCTGTGCGTCTTCTACCCAGATTTCAGAAGATGTGGTAGGTCCAGCAGTGTGGCCCTGAAAGTAAGTCATTAAGCTGTAAAGGGGAAGCCAAAAGTGTAATGGAGGCTTGAGAAAGCTGAAGATGCCAAGTCTGAGGAACACCTAGTCAGAAAAGCTGCAGGTAGTTAGCAGAACCACCCCAATAAAGGCCGCGAGGGCTTCAATAGGCAAATTCACATGGACCAGGTTTCACAAAAACTTGGGTTCTCATATGTGCTCACAACTTTCCCTGAGTGCTGGACACAGTGCTATAGAATTTAATGCTCACTATGCTGGGCTCCATTCTCACTTTGATCCAGTCTACATAACTCTCTGTATCTTATTTCAGTCTTTTGGAAAAGAAGGTTTATGATGTGCCATTATATGTTGGTAGTATTTTAAATATTTTTAACAGTGGCTCATGGCTAAGAGTAATGTCTTCAGTCTCAAAGGAAATTTTAGACTAGGACTTTTCCAAAAAGTAGTTCTTGGACTTTTAAAACCTTGGTGAGTCTTATTGATTGGGTAAGTACATTTTACACAAAGAGATGATAAGTCTTTTCAGGACCAGAACAGAATTGTAAGATTTACTTAAAACATCCCCCCTAAATCTCAGGTGGGGTAGTGAAGGTGAGTAGACCGTGGAGTGAGTATGTTCATCACTGAATTCACCCTCTAATGAGTTTAGCTACTGCATGTGCAGTTAGAAGTGTAACCTGGCTAGGAGCAGGATTATGTGGGCATAAACTGAAAAGTACCATCATTCTCTGGCTTTTCTTTGCATACTCTCCCTTTTGGTTACCATGACATGAGAAGCCGTTTCTTCCCCGATCCTTCCCCAGCAGGCCTTTGTCTCGGAGCCAGTCAGCGTGAACCAAAAGAGTAAGTATTCTGCTCTTCAAATTGCAAATGTCAGGTGTTTCACCCCTGTGAACAGAAAAGACACTAAAACACCAAAAATGTTTTCAAGGAGGAAAATCAAGATAACACTTTGCTTAATAATAATAAATAGCAAGAACTGCAATACTAGTTGTATAACTAATAATACTAGTTCTTGGAGTGTGTCAGTCTATTCTTAATATACATTTCAGTTTATTGATAATGTCACCTAGTTCTTCTATATGGAAAACTGTTTCATCTGATTCTTTGCTTTTGAGTCAGCGTAGCTATCTCAGAACTGCATTTTGTTGTTTAAAAACTATATTCAAATTTCTCTCTTTGAGAAACCCTGAAATTAGAGTCAATAGGACTGAAAGCTATAATTGATGAAATATGATATTGCACTCTAAAATGCAATTGCAGCAACCCTAAACCCAGAGCACCTCTGAGGGGTGCTCACCCTTTTTGTGTTGCAACATTGTTCAAGAATACAGAGCACACATGTAGGAAGCCAGAAATGGGAGTTAATTTGGCAAAACCTGCAGTCCTTGACTGCAGAAAAGGGTTTTTACAGATTTAAAAATGAAACCAAACTGCTCCCTAAGTCTCAAAGAAAAACATAAAAGAAAGCAGAGGCAGGTTTCCCTGAGAAGTCCACCTTGACCCCTCCTCAGCTGCCACAGTCCCTGCCAGCACCTACAGCATCACTCCCCCCTCCCAACTCACCTCCTTCCAGCCCCTGCACCAGGTCCAGTCAGCCGCTGCCCACACTCAGCCACAGAGGTCCTCTCTCCAGAGCCTTCTGTTTCCTACACTGACCAGATAGCATCATTTAATGCTTACCCACAACAGCTGTCAGCAATTCCTTCTGAGTTCTACATTTTGACCTAGAAATGAGGACTCTCAGCCCTGATGAATGAGTTACCATGACATTTCCCAAAGGCCACTTTTCCATAGAAATAGCCCAATCAAGAACACCTCAGACATCAAAGAGGGACACAAAAGCTAATCACCTGCCATCACCCAAAAACCTGATTAAAGCATATGATGTCCATAAGAAAATTCAGCCTGATAGACAGTCATACCCTCTGGCTTCAGGCTATTGACACCAGAAAAATGTTTGTTCCATATGTAAGGCATAAAGAAACCTGACTATCCAGGCCCCCTCAGCCTGAACCTCTTTTCTCCATGTTGGGGCTGGATAAAGAGGACAAACTGAGCTCTATCAAATTGGGCCCCCTAGAACCTGCAGTCACTGTAGAAGTTGGGGCATACCTGTGCCTCCTAGTAGACAATGGAACAGAACCCTCTTACCCTCTGAAGTTCCCTCTGTCAAAAGTTACCATTTGGGGCAGCTGGGACTCTTATCTCTCACTCTTTATTTCAGGCACTAACTTACAGCCTGGAAGGACACCTCACCAACATCAGTTCCTGTCTGCGAAGAGGCTTGCTCTTCAAATTAGAAGGGACCATCACTTTTACACCAAGTCAGTCAGCCTCCCCGTCACTTGACCCCTGAGAGGAACACAATGCGTGCATGAGAAAAATAACTGCTGTGCCATCAATAGTACAGCCATCACTTTGCACTCTGTGCTTCCCAACCCATACACTTTTCTTGCACTGCTCTAGCTCACTTGGTCTCAGTTGTGCTAAGGAATTAAGGACTCTCCCATTACTTGGCGGGGGGGGAGCCGAGGACATAGTTGGGCAAGCCACCAACACCTTTTCTCTGAGACAGCCTATTTCTCTGTTTCTTTCAGCTCTGTTATGGTCTCCTGAGCAAACACTGTCGACTGTCAAACTGCTAAAATAGGCCTCTCCTGCGTGTAAGGCCAGGTCGGAATCGCTGAGCTAACAATGCTGCACCAGTTGGCCTCCATATGCACTGCCTCAGACTTCTGCCACCCGCTGTCTGCTGGTATAGCTCTCAGGACCTAAAGAATATCTCCTGCCTTTGATTTGCTCCTGTCAGGCAGTTCATGTTTGTTTTAAGATGGAAAGACCCACCCAGGCATCAAAAAATTATGTGTCCTCTTTTTGAGAAACCCTCACAGATGACCTTGTTGATTTCCCGTCACAACATATTGCAGCACTTCTGACTGATGACATCCAAGCTGCCTGCTGGAAAGACTGAAAAGCTCTGCACAATGTCTTGCACAAACTGACTACAAGAAAAAATCCACAAATTTCTTAGAGCTTCTGCATCCTATAAAATGTGGGCCCTTGAGTTCACATAAACAATGATGCTTACTCAGCGCTGCCTAGTCCCTTTTTTATCTTCATGCTCTAATAGCTGCTGTCCTTGCAATTAAGAAACCTGACAAGCTCATCTTAGTCCAAGCCCTCATTGTCCAGGTGCCTCATGCTGTACTGGACATCCTGAGTAAGTGTCGACCACCCAGTCCTGACATGTGTCTGCCCACCACGCTTGGCCCACCAGATGGTGCCTAAAATCTGACTCCCTCTGATGGATGCTGAGTAGACCCTGCTTATGAATGCAAGTGGCTCGTTCACGACAAGTTAGAGATGCTGTTGTCACCTTGGATGAAGTTATTTTGGCCAAAACTCTACTACTGCTTCCTGCTGCTGTTTGGAAACCTGCTACCAAAATATTACATGAAACTCCATTAGAATGTACAATCTTACGTCTTATTGTATCATCTAAAATAAATTTCACAAAGTGAATGAAACATGATGAAGAAATGTTCAGATAAAACAAAATAAAATAGAGTTTAAGCTGTTTCCTTCCAGTTACACGCAGCTGGGCCTCTGCTTTGTACACAAGACACACCAGACCACTTTGCTTTTCCTCTTCTCACAGGCATTTTCACATCTTGAAAACATGGTTCTGTTTGCATGCCCGCCTCCCAATCCTTCTTACCGTTCTGGACCACAGAAATCTAATGGAGATAATCTCATCCCTCATTTCAGTGTTTTATTTTTGCACACTGTGTACTGAATTGTCTGACTGCAAATCCATTCTTTGCTGTGGCCTGTGTCACATCCTCTTATTCTTGCTGATAAGTATTCAATTAATGCATAGGAATGAATAATACTGAACTGTTCTTATTGATATTTTTAGTTATCAAAATCATTTAAATACATTAAAATACATATCAAAATGTTCATTCTTTGAAAACTAGTTTTATAACACCTTTGTTGTGCTTTTCATGTGCTTTTAGCTTTATGAGCAAATTCATAAGCAATAATGTTTGTGTTACAGTGTCTGCAGTGGTGGGAAACCTGACAGCAAATCGTGAAAGACTCCTTCCGTCACACACTTGCATTTCACCATGAGCAACTGAAACGGCTACTATTCGGAACTGTAATTACAGGATTATTAGCCAGATGTAAAGTAAACTTTAATTAAAAGAAGCTTGGACTATGTATTCCTCTAATGATTCTCCCACCTATAATACACAGGGGCTACAACTGTGTCAGTTCTTGCCAACATATCACAGGGACATAATTACATTGGGTTGTAGCTGTTATAGTGCATGTGAATGGATCTGTTTGGAGTCTAATTTGCAGTTCCTTTATGCTTAATAATATTGAGCATATTTTTATGTCTGTATTTCCTTTATGACTGATAATACTGAGCATATTTTATGCACATTTTCTGTACATGGTCCTAATTATGCTGATTTATATTAGTTTTTTTCTGTAGTTTTGAAGGAGTATGTTATATTTGAAGAAAAAAAATCTTCAATGGTTATAAAACTTGCAAATATATTTAGTCTATTATTTTCATACTTTATTAGGTATGTATTTTAAATGACAAATACATTTTATATGGATGATTTGAATTTATATTTAAAATGATTATTGCTTATTAGATACCACAAAACTAAAATCATGGTTTTTTATTATAAAATATTTGTATTACTTTTACATTTATCTATATTTTAAATTATTTGTAATGTGCAGAATTAGAAAGGTATCCTTTCATTTTTCTGGTAAAAAACGTTTGTTAATTTCAGTTATTTAAAAGATTACCTTAAGTGACTTAAATTGGGAAGATGGCATCAATTAAATACATACATAAAAATGCAAAGAAACATTTTGGTATAGAACTAATTTTGCATTATTTTAAAATTTTCTATTGATATATTAGCTTTGTACCAGTACCAATATTCTACAGATCATATTACCTTTACAGAAAAACTAGATAACTGTTTTTTAAAATGTCTTTCAATTTTGTCTTATCTTGCATCTCTAGACACTGACGTTATAATAAATATTTAGAAACTATCTGGGTAGTTTATTAAAATTTCATTTATTTAGAATGAAACTATGAATTAATTCATGTCTAGATGAAATGAAGTGCTGCACATGATACTTTTGAATACAGAAAATATCCATATTAAAAATTAGATATACATTGTATTGTATACTAGTGCCTTTATCCGTAGAAATACATTACAAGGTCCCTTATGTATGTTTGAAACTATGGAAAATCCTAGAACCTGTATACAGTGTTTTATTCTGTGTGCATATCTGTAGTAAGTTTAAGTTTAAACTATAAGCACATTGAGAAATTAACAATTTCTCACTTACTACGGATTTTAGCAATCTCAATGCAACGTTATTTTGCTTTCTCTAAGGAAAGAACTTATTCAGTCAACTTTGACCTTTTTCCTTAAAGAAAACACTACGTCTTCTTTCAGGCTTATCCAAATTGCCAACATAACTAATACTGTGCTTTGTACTTTTGCTGAGTTAACAAAAAAGTCACTTGACCACAAGAATGCAATGCCGTGATAATCTGAAAACCAAAATTTCTACTGTTACCGATTTAGCATGTACAATGTGGAAATGATTGAGAAAGCAACAATTAATGTTCGAAGCAGAATAGAGAGGAATGGAATTAGATTTCATTGTAATACTGTGAAGGGTGTAAAATTTAACCCTCACAAATGACTTATTTTTATATAATTCCACAGATTACAGACACAAAGCCTGTAGCTAACTGAAAGTGTGGAAAGCAAAAACACAAATAAGAGGTGCTACAGTTTTGATCTTCAGTGCTTAAGTGTTGAAGGCTTGGTCTCAAGTTTGAGACCATACTGACAAGCGAAATGAATCAAACTGACATGTACAAATACCGTACAGTCTTCTTAGAGTAAGAAATGGTAAGAATACATCAAAGTGTATGGTAATCATGATTCCCCATTATATTGCTTTGAAGCCTTATAAGGTTTTCATTCATTATTGAAATGGTTTTATTCTCGTTGTTTGATTTTATTTTCTGTGATGCTATGAACAGGTATTTTGATGAAAACAAGACATTATCATAGCTAGTGCTGATTTAATATCATCCCACCATGCTTTTGTTGTTCTGTCTCCATTGGTTTTATCATGTTGTATCTTATTGGATTTTATTATGTGTGATAGTATAAACAAATTTTTTTATGGACAAGTAGATAATATAGTAATCATTGTTCATTTTCTATTAGTTGGTTCTAAATACTCTGTAATACTTTCATTCTTTTTAATGTTTTTATACTATTTTGTTAGGTTTGATATTATAGTGTATAAAGGTATATTCAAATATTTCAAGAAAAGAGACACTATGGTAGCTAGTGTTATGTCGGGTTGTCTTGTGGTGAAACACTATGTTGCTTAAATTGTTCTGTTCTGACCTGTTTTGTTATATTCTCTTTTATCTTAATCTTCTTAAAATTAAAAAAAAAGTGGGTTGAAGGCTTGGTAGAAGAGAGTGAAACCTCTGATAGGTGGAACTTGCTTGGAGGTACTTAGGTCATTAAAACCAAATCTCTGCAGAGGATCATGAAATTCAGTGTATTCCCTTCCCTCTGTTGTTTCCTAGCCATGAAGTTACAAGTTTTGCTTCACTGCGCGTACTGTGTCACTGCAAGTCAACACCCCCAGAGACTGGAATCTCTCAAATTGAACCAGCACAAAACTTTTCTTTTGTAATTATGCTTTTTTTTTTTTAATAATGGAAGGGTAAGTCACCCAAGGAGAACTACAGCACATTCTAAAGGACTTGTAGTACTTTAATTCTTTTATTAAACTCACTTCAAACTGCATTTCTGCTATATTAAGTGATACTTAGATTAACTATAATTTTCCAATTTATTTTCTAAGCATTTGCAGAACTATACTTGAAAATTGCGGAATTCACTTAATTTCATTACTGTAGTCAATATTCAGAAGTTTCTGCATAAAAATCAAATAAGTAGGAAATTGATGTGTAATTACTAGAATCTTTGTGTTCTTTTTGCCTTATTGTATAACCAAAGTAATACTGATAATGAGTGTAATCGCAAACAGCAAACACAAAAATAATCATTTAATCATTCTTCATTAAAATTCTTCTATTACTATTGAATTAGTTTTTAACTGTAGAAACCTTCAAAAATTTGGCTGCAAGTTTAGAGTATAAGTTGAGAATGGAGAAAAGTGGTACTATCAAATAAAAAGTGGCACCAGATTTGACATAGTGGTTATCTTAAAGTTAACTTTGAAGATTATATAAACTGTGTGCAACTCTTGCCAGGAAATGCATTTTTGTTACATACCAGGGTGCAAATGTCTGAAAATTCTTTCTGTGAGCTTATAACACAAACTTTTAGCAAATGCATCTTTTCCTTTCTTCTCAACAAGATTTTCATGCAGGAAAAGATGGAGTTTGTTTTTTGGTTTATATTTAGCTTACAATTATTCTTGATGATATATCGTTTATTATGGCTCATTAATGGTTATTTGCTGTTTTGCTGTCTTGAAACACCAAGTCCATTCATTGTAAGATAAATAATTGCAAACTACATTCAGATATGAAATGTAACTAAGTTAATGCATATGTGTAATATATAAAGGATATTGTAGCATATAATTTATTTATTAGAATAATTGATTTTATAATTAGGTCATTTTCACATTTTACTAGAGAATGCACTTCTTTTATAACTACATTTTAAGTGATTTTACTGCACAAAAGATAATTTTTACAGTGACTGAAATTCAATAAAATTTCATCTGTTAACTTGTTTTTTATGAAAAATAATATATAACATCTTTCAATTATTTAGATAATTATAAACTGTGGAAACCCTGTAATATAACCTTAAGTTATCAACAAATAGCTGTATAAAATATTCTTATACTGTGTTACTTCCAGCCTAAAGGAACATGATATTCTGTAGAGAAGATTAAAGACTAATCCTAGGAGATGCAATTCAGGTAATAATGACATATCGTACAATGAACTCACACTACAGGAGAATTATAAATGCCAAAATTGTATGTTCACACAGAGACATATCTACATGCATGCCCACACAAAAATATTTAATGTCACTGTAGAAACCAAAGAGCAGGCAAAATTTGGAGATGGTTTAACCCTTTAAAAAGTGAAATGCATACTTGTATGCTTTACTCCTGAGGTTGTTGAATTTCAAGAGAAAGATATACATATATATTTTTTTTTTTTTAAGCTAGAGATACTGTAAAATGTTGCTCAAGTCTATCTGCCCAGCTGGAAGTTGATGCGTGAGATCGTTGTGAGGGGAATTCTGAAATAGGAATTCCTGTAAGCTTTTGATGACACCAAGCACTCAGTGCTCAGATTAAAAAATTCAGAAATAATAAAATGACGCTTCATTTGAAGATTCCTTTTAATAGTCAAAACAATAAACATTATAAAAGTGTCAGATGAAAGACAGTAAAGTCATCAGAGTATCGGGCTGCCAACTGGTCTAATATGAATGATCATCAGCAGTTTATCAGTGACAGGGAAACAGACACCACAGAGTTCTGTCAGGTAATTGTAAGTATCTTCAGTGCATTAACCTGGTGAGAGGAAAAAGAATATCCACTGTTCAGTCAAATATAAACTCCACCCACATGTGACCACATGATGTGATCAAACTTTACAATTTGCTTTTTATGAAAATAATTTATAGAATTTGGAAAAGATTTTATAAATTTGAGCATATTAAATATCCTAATCCAAACTTAATATAGAGTAAGACCTTTCCTGTGAATATACTAGCTCTTATTTTTCTAAGATTCATGAATATGTACATATATGTGTCCTCAAAATGCTCTATAAGACAAAAATATTCAGATTACTCCTATTGTCAGAAAAATTAAAATGAAGCATTTTCTTTAATTAAATTTATAAAATGTTAAATAATATAACACATATCAGGTACAAATGCATTAAAAAGAATTATACATTGTTAAAGTCCCTTAACTTTAAATAGCTACATGTATGAATTTTAAAGAGGCTTTGTATTGTTTATGCCTAAATTATTTTCTTGCTACACCACCAACTACATTAGAAAACTAGTGCTAACAACTAATTAACATTTTATATTCATAGAAAAGTGTGCATGACAATATATTTGTATCTTTTTTTTTTCTTGAGACAAGATCTTGCTATGCAGTTCAGGCTGCCCTTGAACTCCCAGAGATACACCCACAAAAAATACTGAGACTCAAATTGTTTTCCAGTCTCTTTCCTTGCTTATTTCTACAGTATCAAACCTCTTATTTCTATAGTATCAAAGCAAATGATCATAGTAAGTGGACTGTAAACTGAAATATTGAATCCAAATAAGCCCTCCTTTTGTTAAGTTGGTTTTCTTAAGAATTTTGTCACAGTGACAATATGCCAACACAATGATAGATCACAAAATTACCCCAAAGAAAGAACTTATGTAATGATTTCAGTTGATGCAGAAAGGCATTTGACAAAATTGAACATTCATTAATGATTAAATCTCTAAATATACTAGTTATTGAAGTAGCTTGCATGATTGGAATAAAGATCATATATTAAAGGCTTACAGTCAATATAATCAATAGGGACAATCTAAGAACTTTTCTTAAAGATCTTTTATAAGGAAAGAAAGACAAGTTCACTGAAAATCTTTACCAAGACAATTACTTTTTCTTGAGGGCAAGGATTGTTTGAGACAGGGTCTTGCTATTTAGTGCAGGCTGGTCTTGAACTCATTTATGTAATGCAGTCTGGCCTTGAACTCATGGTGATCCCCCTGCCTCAGCCCCCCACATGCTGGGATTCCAGACATTTATCACCATGCCTGGCTGCCAAGACAGTTAGACAGTAAAAAGTGACAAAAATAACCTATATTAAAATCAAAGATGATCAACTGTTGTTACAGATAAAATGGTTATATATGTAGTGAACACTGAAGACTCAATAAAAAACAGTTATTTTTGATAAATTCCTGAAAACTCCAGAATCATGAAATATCAACCATAGAGACTGAGGAGTAGCTGCATTTTGTATTATGTTCCTAGCATGGCGATGCCTAAGAATTGTGGATTCAGTGTCCAGCATCACCGAACAAATATAGAACCAATAATAATAGTAATAATCAGTTAGTGGTTCTACATGCAAATAATTAACCAGTAAAAAGAGATAAGAGGCCAGGCACGGCCACACAGCCTTACTCCCAGAACTCTGCAAGACTGGACAGAAGATGTACAAATTGGAGCCCCACGAGGCTCACTTAGTGCTTAGAAACTTCCTTCTCAAGAAAAGGTATTTTAAAAGACCTGGGGATGGAGTTTAGTGGAGAGCTCTGGTTTCAATACTCAGAATGACAGAAAGTTTAAAAGAAGTGATTGAGAAAAAAATCATAATGATATTTGGCAACAAAAAGAATAAAATGCCTGGGAATGAATTAAAAAAATAAAAGAATCACTAAAATTATAAAACAATAGTGGAGGAAATTAAAGGCAAAAAATAAAGTACTCCTAATATTCACTGGTTTAAAGATTTGTAATTGTGAATAAGTCCAGAGTATGGAAAATAACCTGCAGATTTAATGGAAGTCCTAGGTGCATTCTTCACATAAATAGAAAAATATATTAAACTTGATATAAAAATCACTAAAAACCTAAAGTGGTAAAAGCAACCTTTGAACAAAAGAACAAATCTGTAAGTGTCAAAACTTCTGGTATTAATTATAGTTTAAAAATACAGTAGTCAAAATGCACAAGATAGAAAATAAAATTCACTGTAAATATAGAACATTAGAACAATAGAGAAGTCAGAAATACATATATATTCACATATGCATACATATAAATACTAAAATTGTGTGATAATTAAAAATATTTGTATGTTTTTATTCTTACTTTGATCAGAAAAATTAAGCTTCATATTTTCTTATTTTAAATTTGCATTTGCCTTTACATAGGCAATAATTGGGACATTAACTTTTTAGTTATGTTTTGGTTAAAGTATGTTAATGACAATAGATCTTTCTAAAACATGAATAGTTTCACAAAATCTTGATACAATTCTTGTTTATATAAATGTAATCTCATCAAAAGCAAGATTGTTTATCCATATATTTTTTAGAATTTTGAGGGATTCTTGCATTGAATATGAGGCACTTAAACAATCTGAGCGAGAGAAAGGGATCTCCCAAAGGGATGAAAGGGAAGGGTGCAATCTGGTTCATGTAGTCTACATTGCGGATCTCAAAAAAGCACAGGCGGTTTTATGGCATTAACTATTATTTTAGCAACACAAAAAAAATTATGTTTTGTAAAATGAGCCAGACCCTAAAGAATCCTCACCTTATTTTTGTAATTTTTTTAAGTCCAAGAGCTAGAAAAAGTGTTCTGGGCTAACAGAAATAAGCATGGTTATCTGTTAGGATTTGAAGGAGGAGAAACAGCTATCTGACATGAGGGAAATAATTTATATGTTATTTTGTATGATGAATATGCAGATTGTATAATAGTAATATCTCATAAATAGTCACGCATGATCTTCAAATTTGTAGTACATATGCATGATACATTCATTTTAAACCATTTTCATTTTTAAATGTTGATTCTCATTTTTAAAATGTTTCTATTATTAGGTTTATATCTGAGTTTGCATTTTTTAAAAGAAACAACCATATGCTTTTTTAAGGAAACAAAGAATACAAAGATTAGCATTGTCTTTTTTTTCCACACTTGATTTGACAGTCTACATTTATCAAGTATGCAGTAAATATTTGCAGTATTTAATATAAAGATAGACACTTCCTCTTCAAAATATGCACTAAAATATAAGTTCTCCTGCAAAATATGTGAACATTTTCATGAATTTATTCATTCACTAATTTTCAGTTTATTTTCTTTAAATATTTTTTGCATATCTATTAATTAAAAATCTGTTAGGTTCCAGTTACATGGTAATATACAAAAAATTATCTAGGTTGCCCTCACACGAGTTTGGTTTTTTTTTCTTAATGATTTACGGGAACAGATTATATAATGCAAGATGTAATGAACAGATACTCTGAAGAAGAGATGCTAAGAAACCCGAGGCTAATTTTGTAGCATTATGATATTAATTCTAGCAATACTATTGTTCGCTGATTATAATGACATTGGTCTGGTCTCTTGAGTTCAATTTCTGCATATGTACAGATGGGGACAACTATCACAAAGAGAATGAGAGATGCAATGGTAGTTATTATTGTCTTCCCTAATGTTAGATCTTGAAGACCTAAAAAGCCTTCATCATCCTATAATGATTTGATTAGTTCTATAATATGCAATAAGTATATAAAGTGGGTGAAGATGGGGACAACTATTTGTAAGAAACTAGAGACAGTTAGATAGACAGTGAAGATCTCCAGTGGACTTGGTTTGAAATCTGTATTTCTTCAAATTGTTTTTTTTTTAACTGTTTTGTTCTGTTTTGATATGTTTAATCTTACCCGCTTTGAGATGTAAAACAAATGTGTAGGACTGATAACCATATTACTGAGTTTTTGTTCGATCATTGAGCCGAACTTTTTTTAGTGTCACTTTTTGAATGTCATTCTAAATACTTTAATTCCATAACCTGAACAGCTATTTCTAAGATGACAAAATGTAACTTATCAACCAGCAATTTCTTACCGTTTGTTTTTCTGTAATTTTGTATTATTTCTACCCTTTTTTTATCTCCATGTATTTTTTGTTTCCTTTTCTTTAAATAAAATTTTAAAAAATCCTCCTAGAACAATCTGAATACAATGATTCCAATGGTCATTTTACTGGTTACTTTGTTTTGACATTTGTACTTTAACCAGTGTGCAAATATTCAAAATATTAAAATCAAAATTTATGTGTTTTACTTATGCTACAATTTCTTTAATTTTTTCTTCCCATTCTATTAACAAATTTAAAATTTGTTTGAATAGGTACCATATTATATAGATAAACCTAAACTTCCTTGCTATAAGCAAGGAAGATTTTATGAACTGTTTAATTAAAATAGCCTAAATTACTTACATTGTTACAGGTTACAATTTATAGGGTATGTAGATATATCTCAAAATGTGCTTAAATGTATGTGAAAAATTACAAATTACATTAAAATTACATAAATTTATACAATTTGACGTATTTATGTCTTTTTGATTAAGTGTGGAACATAAAATTATTTCCCAGCAATTTGTATTTCTGAAATTTTAAAAAATAGCCCGCTACTTCAGAAGCAATATACGCCTATATACCGTATATGTAACATCTGAAAATCAAATTTCACTCAGATTTGTTATTTAACTTAGAAAGATGAGCCAACAATATTAAACAGCTGATGAAATATACCATGTATTTGAATTCCATTCATGCAGGATCATGGACTGGAGATTTAGCTTAGCAGCATAAGCATGTGCCTGGCAAGCCGGACATCATGAGTTTGATCCCTGGTACAAAAAAAAAAGAGAATCTTATGGCCAAAGCAAGTTTATATTAATAATTTTTACTAAACGCCTGCACCTCAGGCACTGCAATGAATTCTAAGTAGTGTATTTCTTGAAGATGATACTGAAACTAATAAAGATCAAAAATAATATCTCATTTAATCCTCCTACTAAACTCAGAAAAAGTGATAGGCAATCTATATATTTTATAGATGATAGAATGCTATTTTCTGAAATTACTTCATATTTGTAGTAACTTAGAAAAAGTCATAGGGAACCTATATATTTTATAGATGATAGAATATTAGTTTTCTAAACTGAGACAATAGAACACAAATATAAATATATCTTAACTGCAAGAAATATTCTTGTGATCTGATTTATGCTTTTAAATTATTAATAGTAACTCACAGTAGTACAAAAATTTGGACTTCAGAAAATAGTTGAAATTCTATTTCCACAGGTGTATATAAATCTCTAACACAAAGTAGAAAAACAAAAACCAAATAAAACCAAGCAAAAAGTCCATTTGAAGTGAGTTTAAAACAAGCAACTGACCCAACAGACATACATAATTTATACTCAGAGTACTGTTTAAATTAAATGTTCCTTGTGATTTAATTCCTGTTTGGGGAATATCAAATGCATTAATGAAGATTAGTTCATGCAGATTACAGAGAATCACTTTCCCCCATGAAAATAATCAGTGAATTCCGAGTAGACTTCAGCTTTGTAAAAGACAGCCACACATTCTTGTTGAGCATTCAGTGTTGCACTGTGAGGAGAAAGGAGAGCAGGTCATGACTGAATTTCACGCTCCTGTGACCCGCAAAATAATTCACACAGTTATCAGGGCATTCATTCAATTTCTGTATTACCTGCCATCTGTGATACACAGATATGCTAGATTAAAGATCAACCTTCTAATTTCAAGCCCAAATAAACTCCACATATTTAATGGCAAAAATATTTGTCATTATGTATATTCTGAAGTATCACTCTTGATCTATGTACAGTATGTCCGAGAAAACTAATGTTTTGAAGCAAAAGTTCTTACAGATTCACAATTTAATTCACAAATTACATTTAAACTACATTAGACTATATTTTGTTATACTATATTTTATGTACTTATACTTTTCTTATATTTTGTTATAATGTGTGGCCTATCATTATAGTTATTTTGTGTGCTCAAATTAACAGAAACATTTGTGCACCCATTATGGGCCATAATGAGAAACAGTTACTGAAGAAGTTAAAATTTTGCCAGCACAAACACATTGCATAATAATCTACTTCTTTCTGACTTTGCTTTAAGACACACAGAGAAAAAAAGCAAGTGGACACTCAATCAATATATTCTTTATAATTATTCTATTCCAACAGATGAAAAACTCAGAAAAAAGGACACGGGACATGAAGTTACCAGTGAAGGAAAGAATGTAATGAAAATTTATCTAACAGACCAATTTGGAGAGAAGTTGAGAGCATATCTCAGGGAGCTTTCACACTCATGAATTGAAAAGCAAATAGCAACAAACCTCCATGATTTGCTTTGAGGAATTAACCTAATAGAAAAATTGAATTAAAGAAAGGTCTACAAAACAAACAACTGAATGGATGCTGTTAATGCACTTTCAAAATTTAAACTCCTGTATGGTAAGTATTTAAAAATAGCACTTCTCTAAAATATTTAGCTATATCTATGCCTGACTACATATACACAATTCTAATAATATATATTCTCATAAGAAAGATTTGATCTTTAACTGTTACTGTAAACCCATGCATAAAGAGTACCTAGGTATTCAAGGGACAACATGATTTCCATTCAAACTATGCTATATAGTTTCTTTAACAAGATATTTACCTTAATTTTAATGCATCCAAATGCTAATTTTATCCATAAAACTCAGCTAATTAACGTTGTACTTGGCCCTGAAGCTCTAACCATTGCAATCCCTCCTGACCCCCTTCATCCTGGGGATTGGACTCTACTACTTTTAGAACATGGCTCATTAATTATTTTTACCCCACATAATCCTCCATGAAGCATATTTGTCAATACCTCAAGTGCTTCTACATAAACATTTTATAACTTCCCAGTCAATGGATATAACCGTAGATTCCAACATGGCCAGTTAGAGTAGGAGATGTGCTGGAGATACTTGGAGGAGAGTCACTGAAAAAGAAGTAGTGTTCTGAGATGTGAAGGGAAACTGCACTCAGGAAAGAAAACCAGTCAGAAGAATAATCACACAGATCTTGCCAATATCTGGATTGTTGAAAAAGTGAAGCGGCACGGCCACTGGTCCTTGGTTCCACCTTCCCCCTTTTACCCAGAGGCCACATCATCTAAAGAGGAGTCCGAATCACCAGTGAGGGAGACAGCACTGCAATGGCCAAAGCCTTGCACAGGTCCCTTCACTCTCACCCTCCCACCTGGAGGAGGAAATCCAGTGTAGCAGTGCACTGTGGTTGAGGCCCCAGGGAAGCCACAAGGGCAGCTGGATAGAAGAAGAAAAAGCAACATGGTAGTCTTTCCCTACCCCCATCATCGTCCCTGAAAATGGGAACAATTCTGTCCCGCATTATCTTACCTCCACCCAGCCTCTAGAACGAAAGCCTCCACAATGCAGAGAGATGCTGAACTCCAGAGCTGTGGGAGATGCTGAGTCCACTAGTAGAGATTCCTGGACCACATGCCTAGACATATAGGGGAGGGAGACAGACTGAACAAAAGGAGCGAAGAGTAGGCAGTTTCCTATTGCTTCCCCAAACACAGGAGAGATTAGAAACAGCAGGAAACCCACTCACTGCCTGTTGACCCTCCTGAACATAGGAGATAGTCTACTAGGGCCAAGAGGACTCCAACCAGTTGTGTGGGCTGGAAAGCTTTTGAGTGAGCGATGGTTGGGGATTTGAAATTGAAGGAACAGAGGAGTCTTCTAAGACCTAGAGCTTCTTGTGACACACTGAGCGGGAAGTTCCTGGACAAAAAACGCTGAAATGAACCCTGGCTTTGCCCAGCAGTAAAGGGAGCAGGAATGGAAGGTTACCAGTGAAAGATGACAAGAAGCCAGCGGTCAGACACAGTATTTCACCTACTCTTCCCAAATTAGTTGACATATTTGGATCTTGGAACAGAAACATACCTGCAGTCAAGCACAGACAAATCAGATCCTGCAGCCAGGAAGTCTGTCCAGAGAGACCCGCAGCCCTCACCACCCCCAGGCAGGCGGTGGAGCAGCCCACAGGCAGAGCAAATTCAGGTTCAGTGCATGGAAGCAGACTATGACTACAGTGGGAAGGGAACGGGACACTGTGACTGCACGGTAAAGCGGCCACGTGGTGGGGGACAGGGGTGTTTTCTTCTATGTGTGTATGTTGTGGGTTCTCTCCAGGGTTTTCTCTTCAATGCTTAATTACAAATTTATTTTTAGTTTTTTTTTTTAATTTTGCAAGCTTTTACGTCTTTTACTCTTCTCTTTCTCAGTCTTCTTCTTTCTCATTTTAATTTTCTCACCTACCTAGTTTATTCTTCATTTCTTTGCACTTTGGGCAACAGATATATAGCAAGTGCTCGTAATGTACACAGCAGAATAAGATTAGATCAGTGTTTTAACTTAAATGGCAGCGTTCACGGTTATGCTGGGGTAACCTTCAATATAATGTGCTTACAGGATCCCACTAAATCTAACCACAAATGTGTTAGTAGGTTCTGACAACTCCACAGCTTCCCTCAACCTCCAGTTATTCTGTCCTTTCACTGCAGTCCTCTCATGCGTCCAAAATATTCTTTTAAACTCGCCAGCACTAACCCTTTATTCTAGCTATAAAATGCCTCCAACAGTGTCTGACTTTGTATCTTATCCATAAACATCCTCTTTTCTCCTTTCTCCTTATTTTCCCTGATTTCCCCTTTCTCTGTCCTTCCCTTCTTCTTCATCCCACATTAACTGTCAATAAATACAGCATAGTTTGGAATTGGTGCTAATACAAGGGGAAAATTATAATTAAATGGTTTAATGTTTAGTATTGATGGATGGTTAGATCTGTAGATGGTATAACCTGTAGGAATCTCTACAATAACACAGTAACTGGATACAGCCCAATTCAACTGAATAGGATAAAGTAGCAAATAAAAGCCTCTAGACAACTAAAGCTAAGATCATATCAGTAGAAAACAGAACCTAACTAAAGAGATCTTCATACCAACAACAAATTTTCACTCTATTTGACTTCAACCATCAGCACATACACATACCAAAAAAAAAAAAAAAAGGAACATGAAAAAATGGGACAGAAAATGATTCCAAAGACTCCCAACTCTCTTTAAAAAGACTCAATGGCACTGACAGAGTGAAAGGCAAACATGAGCGGCTGAGCAGCATGAAATGACTAAAACAGACACATGGAAACTCAGCAAGCTCAAATACTATGTCACCCACAAAATGGTTGAACTAAAACACAGTGTCCAATGGATTCTGACAAAAACCAAAAATTAAAAGACCTGATCAAAGCTATTTCAAACATGAGTAAATAACTTACCAAAAAAATAGACTCCATGAAAACAGAAATCCTTTAGAGATAATGAATTCTACTGAATATGAGCAATGACGAACTGGAAGTATCAGACCTCAAGGACAGGATGGAAATAAAAGATGTTATACACACAGATATGTTAAAAATAGCATAGCAAGATTAATAAGTGCTTACTAGATGTTGCTGAGTCTAACTCAAGGAAAACTGGAGTTAGAGACAAATTAGAGGATAGCACATACAATATAAAATATGTTTAAAGAATCAAAACAGAAAAAAATAAGGAAAACTAAACATATAAACTATATGAGGCTTACAGAACAACAAGTAATGATTTTTAAAAGGCCCCAATTGCACATCATAATCAAAATTTGAGAAGGCCAAATGAATGGACAGTCATAAAAGTTTTCAGTGAAAAGCCAAAGATCACTTGTAATTGTATTAAATAAGGCTTTTTTAAACAAAAACTTTAATACATTCCCACCAGCTTGAACCGCCAATGTACAGGCATAACTGTTACATCAGGTAGCTTGCACGATTGATAGTGACAATGGATGCAATCAGTTTTATTGGTCTTTTTACTAATAAAATTAATAGTAACTTGATGGGACAGTCATGCATGTGCTGGTGGTGGTTCAAACCACTCAGCAATGAGACCTATGAATTGAGACCTATGAATTATGGTCTCATCACAAACATATTAAAGACTAGTAGAGGGTGGACTGAACTCTATCCAGCACTAGAAGTAAAAGTCTTTCAACCCAAACTAAAACGTACTGCAATGACCTTTTCAAAATGAACATAGGATAAGGGTATCCCATAACTAAAACACATCATAAGAAGTTCATAAACACCAAATGAATACTCAAAAAAATCATGCGTATTTTAGTTAGAGAAAATGAAGCCAACAATATCCCAAATTCTGATGAAATAAATACATCAAGCAGCATATCGGTTAAAGAAAAATGGAAAATTAAAGATGTCAACAGAAATCAGGCCATGCAGGAATACATCAATATTTTTCAGTAATAACTCAATATAAATGTTCAACACACAAGAAAAAGACAAATTTGTAGGCTGGATTGATCACAAAGCCCAGTGGTTTGCTGGAAAGAAGAGACTCATCAGTTTGAAAAACTCATATAATAAAAATAAAAAGATGGGAAAGAAGATTGCGTGCACCAGAACCCCAAAAAGCAACTGGAGTATAAATTTATTTCTCAAAGAAAATGTACTTGAATTTAAACTCACCAGAAGAGGCAAGGAATGGCAATTTATATTAGTCAAGAGAACAATCCAGTGAGAACAGATAATAACTGTAAATATATATGTACTGGACATAAAAGATTACATATGCACCAGCACAATTGTGATGGGAGACCTAAATACATCACTCTCTCAAACAGAGATCAAGAAAACAAAAAATCACCAAAGAAATATCAAAGTTGCACTATACCACTGAACAAATGAAACTAATGCATATCTTCAAAGAGTTCTACTGAACAACAGAACAGACATTCTTCTCAGCTGTCTAGGGAACTTTTTCAAAAATAGACGACATTCTAGTCCATTAAACCTACAAAATAAGTGCAAAAGAATAAAATCATGCTACACACACAATTAGATCATAGCACAATAAAACTATAAATCAATTATAAAAGAAACCACAAAACCATACAAATAGAAGGATATTAAATAATATACTCCCGAATATTCAATTACAGAAGAAATAAAGGAATAAACCAAACACTGGAAAATCTAGGAGACACAAAACAGTTAAAAATGAAGTTTATTGCTGTAAACACCTAGATTAAAAAAACCAGGGAAAGTTAAAAAAAACTGAATTATATATTCACAGTTCTATCAAAGAAAAACCAATCCAAACTCAAATTTACTGCATGAGTGAACTCACAAGGATCAGTATGAAACTTAATTTTAAGAAAACAATAAAAGAATTAATGAGTTAACGAGCTGATTCTTTATAAAAACAAATAAAACAGACCAAATCTTAGCCAAACTTAAAGAATGAAAAATTCATATCAGTGCAATTAAAAATTAAAAAGTCAAAATGACACCAAACACTAGCAAAATCTAGCTGACTAGCAACTAGAGTGAAAATTGTGACTCCAGAAAATTGGAAAGTCTTGAAGAAATGGTCAGATGCCTAATGCATATAAAGTACCAAAACTGAACCAAAAAGATATAAAAACCTGAATAATGCCAAAAAGACAATGAAATATATAATGTGATATTCTTTCCTTAATAATTTTCAAAACAAAAGAACAAAATTAATCAGTTGCGGAAAACATGAAAATTCACCATATTTTGAGGTGGGAAACAAAAATCTTCTATACATAAGAAGAGGTAGGAATATTTTTTGACATAAATATGTAGCTTAAAAGCACAAAGAACACTGAAAATTAGATACCGTATATGCAGAGAAACATTTTTCTATAAACCTGACTATCCATTCAGTTATAAAGAATAGCGGTGCTAGAGCACCAGGCTGCAGTTCAAACTCGCGCCAGACACCACGTACAGTAAGGCCCGGATAAAAAGTGACAAAACCTCTGAATCCTGGTCGCATTCTGAGCTCATGCCAGCTCAGTCACTTGGCAACACAGGACGAGGGAATCCTGGAAAGGTGGGTGCACCCTCCTTCTGCCCTGAAGTACCGAGAAGTCTTTCTCTGCTGTATCACGATCCCCCGACACCCCACTTTGGGTCGAGGGGCCCCCTTTGGGCGGAGCCTGGCGCACCTCAGTGCGAACTGCCGAGTCTCTGCACACCCCTGAGCCTTTGGGCCTGGGAAGCGCGGTCGCCCCAGCCTGCAGAGCTCACTCTGCGTCCTTGGGGAGTCCACGGAGAGGCAGGAAAGCGAAGCAGAAGACAGTGCTTAAAGAATGCAGGAAGAGGAGTCCCAAAGTAAAACAAAACCCGAGCACCGCGGCAGCTCCGATGCCCAGAACGACCTCCAGCACCGACCGGATCATCAGGTTGGACGCAGGAGAGCGCAGGCTCTGAGCTCGCTGCAGCGCCGCGCGGTGTCCCTGGTGGGAAGGGCAGGCGGGAAGACAGGGCCTGAGCAGCAGGGGGCTGGGGCTTCCATCTGTGCATCTCCAGCGGTGTCTACTCTTTTCACTGGAATTGTCTAGAATCCGCCCACTGTGAACTGACAGAAATTTGTGTAAATAATACACTAACAACAACAACAACAAAAAAGCAGTGCTTTCCTACATTCATCAGCATAAGAATAGTAAGCTGCTAGTAACAAGGAAAATTGGAAAAGCAATGTAAACCGAAAAGAAAGTATGTAGGGAAAAAAGTAGAAATATTCTTTCAAGCTATCTCTATCCTCCACATGGAGTAATTTTAGAAGAATTTGATCACTATGAAATAAATCTCAACTGACTAACATCAAACTTCAAAACCAAATTAGCTGTTAATACTAAGTGAAATACCAAATAATAATGTAACAGGGGAAAATGTGTCAATTTTAAAAGCATAAGCTGATTTATGTCAGTGTCCGCCATTCCATCTATGATGTTGCCATTTCAACAAAAAACTGAAAGGCATTAATAAGGACAGAGTAAAAATGACACACTCCCAAGAAAGACAACCACAAAAATATGCAAAAAAACATGTTGGAGACACTAATGGGAAACACAAAAACATGAAAGCAACAGAAACAGCAACAGAAAAGTTAGAATAATTACAAAATTCTAATGGATATGACAGGACCAAAAACAGTGAATGCGTAATGAAGAACGCACTTGGCAGGTTCATTAGTAGTCACAACTCAGCCAAAAAAAGAATCAGACACAATAAACTTGAAGTTATTTAATACTGAAATTTCAATAAATTGAAATATAAATCAAATACTTGAATAAATCATCTGAGAGCCATGAGACAGCATTACAATATCCAGCATAGTTCCATCTAAAAAACCTAAAGGATAGAAAAATAAAACAGAATAAAATAAAAATCTGGAGGCACAAAAGTTCTTCAAAATTAATTTCAAGTGTAAGGTGTCAAGAGTTACCTAATAAATTCAGTGAGCATCTATTAAATAACAAAAAGGAAAAGAAGAAAGAAAAGGAAAACAAAAAATTTTAAAAAGCAAAAATAGAAGCTAGAAAAAAAACATATATATATATATATATATATATATATATATTTTCCAATGTCCACAATTCTATATCTACCAAAATATGCTTTTCAAATACTAAAAATAGACATTTCTTTAGATAAAAATTGGCAGATTTCTTTGCACCTGTTTTATTCTACAGTAACTATTGAAAAAAGTTCTTCAGGCAAAAATAGTATCAGAGAATAAGCTGGATTGGCGCCTTTTTTGCTCTTTTTTCTCATCTAAAATACTGTGAAAGATGCGCTGATGTCAAAATAAAAACTGGTAGTAAAACAACCTTTCATTAAAAATAAAGTAATGATAAAATATATTCCAAAATGGGAGAATGAATGCAAAATATAAAATTGTAATGCATACGCATTACATATGAAGTGTTATGATATATACAGTGTCAAAAAGATGAAAGATATACTGATCACTTTATGAAGTAGTAATAATAGCTAAATAAAAATTAGGAAGAAGTATTGAATGTTTAGAGTAGGTCATCTTATGGTATTGAATGTAAAGGTAACTACTGACTCAACCACAATGTGATACAAGAAAGTAATCAGATATCTATAAATTCAAAACCATAGACAAAATATACTAAATTCTTAAAAGTGCAATCTCTTAAGATTCACTAAGGGATATTTCCTGAGTAGCATTATATCTAATTAAATAATGAAATAAGTGCTTAAAAATTTCCAATAACACCAACAATAAAAATTTTTGTCCAGATGATTAACATAGTGAATTCTAATAAATAATTAGAAATTATATCAAGAAGTATAATTTCTTGGAGAAATTATACCAAACTTCCAGAAATTTTAGATATTTTACCACTGATGTAGTGATGCAACACCATCTTCATGTCATAACTCAGGAAAAATCCTGCAAGGATTACAAAGAGAACACGGAACACCATCCCTTCTAATCACAAATACAAAACTACTTTTAAAAAGTCAAACAAATTTCAGTAATACATAAAACAGGCAACTCTTTACAATTTATACTGTAATGCTAGCACTATACAATTTATACTGTAATACTAGCACTATATCTGCTTTCCAAAAAGATGGTTAGTTTAATTTTAAAAATTACAGTAGAAAGGGACATTTTGTCACCTCAAAGTATCACCCCTCACTTTGGACACATTCATTGCATCATTCTTGCCTCTCACTGAAACAGGACTCTGAAAGCCCTTTCGTGGATGTCTTTGGTAACTGCCTTGAAGGCTGCCTTGATTTTCCAAACAAATTTAAAACATTTATTGTCATGTTCACTCTGAATTTGGGGAAAAATAAGAATTCAAGACGCCAATTTTGGTGAACATCATAGTTACTCATCTCATTGCTGACACAAAACACCAAACATCCAAACGTAAAGGAGAAAAATTTATTTAGCTGATGTTTTGTAGAGGTTTCAGTACATAATCAGCTGGTTCCAAGGAAGGCTGCATGGCACAGGACATTTCAGAGGAGAAACGGTTCATGGCAGAGAGCAGGTAGCAAAGGAACAAGGGAACCACAGCTCTCTCTGCCCCTTATATCTTATCCCTAAGGGCAAGTAACACCCACACCCTTAAATTCTAGTGCCCTGATCCTAGTACTGCACCATTAAATCAACCAGCATCACACACTCTAGCTCCAGCTACCTCTGAAAAAGCCCCACCTATGAACACATGGACTTTAGCGGTACAATTAGAGGCAGGGAATAAGGTGATAGAGAAAATAAGGTTATATTTTTTGAGCTTTGTAATTTTTATTAGTATATGTTTGTGATACAGAGTAATTACATCCATTGTAGGGAATTGGTATAAATACATATTATAATTACATCTATTGTTGGGAACTGGTATAAACACATACCATATCTTGATCCTTTTCACTTCCATCTCTCCTTCCCTCCCTAATGTGTCTGTGAGCTTGACTTTGCATTAGGAGACACTCAACAGCAGCATTCACCATATTTTTGTCACATATCAAAAAAGCACTCAAAGAAGACTTGAGAACTGTTTCAGGAAATAGCATTTTATTTCTTTGCTAAAGCTTTTCTTTTTTTCATTTTTCTTCAACTGTATTAATTATACTTAGTTTTTGGTTGAAATGTTTTCAACACCAATGATTTAAAATATAAGTTAAAAAGATCTGGCATCTCTTGTAGTTCAGCAATGGCGTCTCATTTTTTCTTTTTAGTTTACATTAGTGTCTTGGTTCATATTCTCATCTTCAGCTTTAACCGGTGTTTTTTGATTCTTTTCTTGGAGACACAAGGTGACTGCCTGATTCCTCCTATGTGGCCTCTGAGGTAGTCAAACTGTGAGGTAGCGTCTCACTACTGATGGCCTGGTGTAGAAGCTACAGCCAAGAGTGTAGTTGAATGGCCCAGTTATGGCCACTTGGTACAAATGAATTTGAAAGCACTACTTATCAGCCTCCTCATCATGGGGAAGGTGCTTATTTCTGGTGCATGATAGTAGCTATGCACGGGGCTCTCATGGTCTCAGATGACACAGGTGATGAAAGTGCTGGCTCCCTACTGGGCCTTTCCTGACAATACTTATGTCATGATTAGGTAGAATCTCATGAAAGTTGGGGGAGTGGATGTTTTGTCTTACCATCTAGTCTTTTCTGGTGTGTGCAGAGTCAACACCACTGTATTTTCTATGGTATTTTCCTGGAGTATCATCATCACAAATTAAAGGTTTTCTTTGTTTCTATGCTGTCCCTGTAACTGTTATATGGCTATATGGAGAAAGCTTTTATTGAACCCTTTTAAAATATCTTTCTGCAATTTTTGGATAAAATTAATCTGGAGAAAATTCAGTATTTGAATAAAATAGTTTCCAAGTAGTTATATATTTTTGCTTAACAATATGAAGAAAATACACACATTAGTGTGAAATATAAAAATGGTATACAAAAACCTAGGATAATAAATTTATAAAATAAGTTAGGCAACAGGTTCTACAACACAACACCAAGGGCTCATCTATAAAAGATAATACTACAGAGTCCATGCAAATTTAAAAGTAGCTCTCCAGCAGCATTATTAAGAGGAGGAAAATAGTAAGTTATTGATCAAGACAATATATTTGAAATCATTTATGTATCAAGTAACAAGACCCAGAATATAAAAGTATAAAGAATCTTTATAACAACATAGTTCTAAAAACAAAACATAATCCAAAACCAACAGCAATGATCAAGTGACATTAATAAAAGCTTTATCAAAAAATTGACAAACCATGAAACTGTTAATATAGAAATTAAAATCAATGTCACACTAAAAATAAATAAGTAAAACTAACATAATGAACTAATACTTCATAAAGTCTATGTTTGAGGAAAAAGTAAAACGAGGAGTTTCATTTCAGTACATGCCAACCAAGATGTAATTTTAATCTGCCGACATTATTGCTAGAGATTATACATGGCAGGACACAATTTCTTAAATAGTACATGTATTCTTACCTATATTAGAATTACACGAGTTTTAAGCAGTTACTCAAGAAAAATAATCAGTTTTTATTTGTCTAAAATCCATACACGAATATTAGTAGTATCTTCATGTATAATAAGCCAAGCATAAAAACATCTCAAATGTCCTTCGATATGTGAACAGATGAATAAGACATGGAATATGTATTCAATGGAATAATAATCGTGATAGAAGAAAATGAACAGATATATAAACCACACATGGATAAATACCGTAGGCATTTTTCAGGGTAAACGGAACTGTTTCTACTTGTATAACATTTATCAAAAGATGAAGTATAGCAATGGAGTACAGATCAGTGAAAGTTCTGTTTTTCTTTGACAACAATGGAGCAGTGTAGGAAATTATGAGAGGATGTCTTGTTCAGTTTGTACTTTTGTAACAGAATCATATAGAGTGGCTAATTTAT